ATCTGTTGCGCTGGGCTTTTTTGTCTTGCATTTCCCCTAGCCTCTTTTCTCTTCACTTTCCCTCGCAGTTTCTTTTTGTTGTTGGTGAAAATCGTGCATCAATGCAGTCTCAGGCTTTCACAGTGAAGTGACCCGTGTTTAAATGTCCGAGGGGCATTTTGTTGAATTGCTCAAACAAATTGCTGTTGATATGAAGATGTGGGGGTGGTGTCTCTATTGGGGTGCAGGTTTATATGCACGGGAAAGCATGAGCATTGCATGGCAATGAATATGGCTGAAGTCATAGCTTTTGTCAGTCAATCTTTTTGTTCTTCCTATGGATGGGCTCGGTTCCAAACATGTCAAACATATCAAAAGCAGATCAGGAAATGACTTCCATTCAAAAATCCTCCTAATGAATAACGTTTAGAGCTCAGTCAAGAAGACAGGGTTACTCAATGAGCTGACTGAGGGTGTTTGGCCAAGTTCTCTGTCAACCAATCACTTTAACTGAGTGACTTTCAGTTTCTGCACACATACACATACACTTAATACAATTGAACAGACCTTTTAACAGTGCTTACTTCTAATTACGAAAGTGCATAGGGCCCCCACAAATCCTTTAAAAATAAATAAATAAAGTTGTTGGTAAACATATATGTAATGGCCCCCGACCAGGCTCCCCTCAATGGAAAAGTATGCCAAGCCAATCAACACCTCTCTCTGAGATAATAGCCAATGACACAATGGGTAACACAGATGGACAACTTTAACTGAATTAAAACCAAACTAATTAAGCCTAACGTAACGTCCACACGGTTCTGTCGCGTGCTTCAACGGAGACGCTTCCCATTCACTTTGAATGGGGTGACGTCAAGCTTTGCCGAACTGCATTGTGGTTCCGTCGCGTCGCTTTGCCTCCGTTGCGAAAAGTTGCGAAAAGTTCAACTTTTCAAGCGCCGACGGAAGCGCCAGACAATCAAATCATATGCCAGTACAACCGCTAGCCAATCAAACCGCGTGCTTGTGTGTCCGGGGCGGGAGATTAATGTGATTGGTTGTTGGTCGCGCGCCAGACACGCCCACCGGCAAGCTTCAACGCGACGGAACCGTGTGGACATACCGTAAGTCCCCCCCATGACATGGCAGCACATGATTTAAGAAACCTCAGCCCTCAGACACTCCTTTTGCTCAACCAGGAAGTACCTCCCCCAAGAACCACAATAACAAAAAGACTGAGAAACAAATTATGAATATGACAACATCAACTGCCTGTGTAACTGCAGTGCTAAACCATGTGATCTTCATCCAGAAATGTAAGGTTAAAATATATTACCTGATTCTAAATCAAATAAACTGATTATAATTGTTTTGGTGTTGTTTTTGAAAATGAGCCTGTAAGTAAACACACACTCAACTGCCATGTAAGTACAAAAATGCACATATTACAGTTATAACACCAGACATGCAGATCATCTGTGGATAAAACCAGCATTTAGCGCATACTGTAGGTTGCTCTGAAATGTAGCACTTTCAGTTTAACCACTCTATCAGTTGTATTTAGGGTTTATACTTCAATTGTTTCAGTATTTAAGATGTTATAAAATGTTCAGCAGCAACCCCTACAAGTTAAATTATGTCTTTTGTACTTTAAATATGTCAAGGTTCCGTTCATAATAGCTTTAATTTGAGCAGAATTCCTTATGTCACACATACTGTACTACTGTCACATGAGGATCTTAACATTACAACGATTACAAGATATTCTGTGTAAAGCATAGACTGTATATATAAAGGTGTAAAGGTAAGTGCCTGTTCTGGTGAGTAATAGGTGTTTCATTAAAAATGTGCTATAGTCTACTAAATATGTCCAAAGAAGCAGATTTGTACATTTTATCTGTTAAGTCCGTTACAAATATGTTTTTCAGTTCTTGCTAATGTTGAATATAAGCACTGACAAACTGCTCAGAAGCCAACAATCAAAATCAATGCATAGTGTTGCTAAAGTTGTTGTTACACTTTGTTGCAAAATGAAGGAGAAACAGAACTTTTATGTAAAAAAGAGCAACTGCATTGTTCCATGTACATCCACTTAAGCAAAATAAATGTGTACTATAGAGTGATTCGTCAAATGATGTGATAGTAGGACGGCAGATATGCAGACAGGTGGCATTATCCACTCTCCTCCTCACTCTCAATTTCTCGTTATGCTTCTCTCTTTACTGTCTTTCTGCTTATTTGTAAAGTACTTACTTATTTTTCTCTCTCAATCACAGCACCTTGTAAAAGACTGATGACATGATGTATCCTAGTAACAAGTTGTGTTTGTTTTTCCTAACTGGACAGCAAAGTGACTCTGTTCATCCCGAGTCTAACAACCAATGGCACAAGTTTGTGGTCCCATAGGAGCAAAAGGCCAACCCTTTTGAAGCATCTTGCTTGTACTGGAGTCGGCAGGCCAGACGGATAATGGTTAAAGAGAATGACCTGGAGACATCTTGTCAACACACCATCCAGTGTCGGAGTGAAAGGTTTCTCTATTTCTAACAAGACAGTGTCTCTCCCATAGTAGTTCAGAACTCACATTCAATCTCCCTTAAGTGTTAGAATGTAATGAGGTTGTTTTGTGTACTATCATCACCACACTGCAGCTACATCGAGCGAGCACTTTTTCAAGAAATAAATGTGTCACTTTTTACCAATCATATAAAAGCGCACAGAAGCATGAAAACAGGAACATTATACGGAGCAGCATTCCCTCTCTGATAATGTTGTACAGGGCAACATAAATAGAGGACTTGACTCTGCCCGAAAAAGCACAGTGAGTGTTTGCCAGCCGCTTTGGGTGGCCGTACTTTTTATGCAGGGCACTTCCTTTAAGCTTCTAATGACGTGTGACCCTTGCGTGAAGAGATCCTTAGAGACTAGGTCAGGCTTTTGGAGTCAGGGAGTTCCTAGTGCACCGAGTCTATCACGCCCGGAGACCAGGCAATCTACTTGTGTAAGCACAAACCCTATAAACTCCTTTTTAGGACATAACTGAAACTTGTTCTTCAAGCAGCATGTATTATTAAGACAAATTAATTACATTTGGTGGTTTGACGTTTCAGACAACTTATGATGATTCTAATCTGTAACCCTATATTTGCCAATGCTGATGTATCAAGCTCTAATACAGACTTGATATTAAAAATAAATAATAAATGCTTTACAGTAGGCCTACATGTAGTACACATTATTTTTTACATATTGTTATTGAGTAATCATGGAAAAAAGTCAGGATTTTTTAAGATCAAGTTTGAAATTTGAAAAATTTGAAAAATTTGAAAAATGTGAAGTTTTGAAAGTTTGAAACCCTGCTTCTTGCACAATGCTACCTCAAGATTAGTAAAGCTGACTTGAAAAAAAACATGTAGGCCTAGGCCTAGAGGAAATGTCCAGTTTGTTTTAACATGGGTCTCTTCCTCATCATTTCAGAAATTCTTACAATGGGTCATGCTAACTTTGCTAATGTAACTTGTCATTGCCATTATGGAACTCGAAATTAGCTATTTAAGCTAGGTGCTTGCTTGGTGTTCTACTTGCCAACTTGCAAGCTAACCAAACTAGCTGCCTATTCATCTGCAAACACCAGTGTCTGTGGCTGGTTGCATTTTAAATCTACAGCTTTAAGGTAGACTATAGACATGATATGAAGGTATATTTGCAGGCTACATAATTGACCCTTTTTGCTTTTCTTATCATCTAGGCGACTGTGAAGGCTGGCCTATGCCACATGTAAACCAGATTGGGCAGGTGTAATCATTCAAGAAACGACTTCATAGTGTTATATTTTTTAGAGAAACTCCAAAGTTCCTGTTTAAACTTCCAACAAACACACGTCTAACTGGTGTTGTGCCCGTATCCCCATGTCACCCTGCTCCCTGGGCCGTGGTTACGCTGATGCGAGAGCTAGAGTGGTTACCACCTGGCTTTTATCCAAGTGGAGGCGCTTGAGAGTGGACCGCTTGGAGAGTGGGAGCGCAGTCGCAGGTTATCCATCGTCCGGTGCAAATATCTACCTTCACTCTGTCTGGGATCATCCTTTATATAGACGGGAGACTCAACAACACCACTTTTACTCAACGCGGATCCAGATTGTTCTCGTTTTCCTCTTTGTGTTTTTTTTTCACCGCCCTGATCAGGCTTAACCACCCTGTGTTTTTGTAAAGCCAATTGTTAGTGCGCATCATCGCGGGAGCCAAAAGGAGCTTTGCCACTGTTCAATAGGAGACTGGTGAGTGAAGCCACTTAATGCTCATGCCTCTGACTTATATTTGAATGATCAGATATGTTTTAGTTTGTTGTGTTGTTTTTTGATCGACTACAGTATAACTTTCTTACTCATGAACATACAGGTAGTGCAGTAGATATTGTTAACTGGGTTGATTGATTTTAAGTTGACTGTATGTCCACTAATTATGAAGTTATTGTTATGATGTATAACAATTAAATTACAGTGATATCAAGCAGTAGAGCTAGTCAGTGTTCTTAAAAGTTATTAGTTTAGTTGCAGGATGCTTAATGTTAAGTTTTCTTTGTATCTGCCCACCTACAAGCCTCCTCATTCTGGTCTGACAGCATTAATGTAAAATGTCTGTTTTCTGCTCTTCTTTATTTTATTCATGATGTTGTTACCCTTTAGTTAAATGAATAGGTAATGGGGTAGCACACTTTAAACCAAGCTGCTCATTTAAAAAAAAGAAAAAGATATGGCTTATTAAAGAACCATGGTGTTACATAATACAGTAAGTGAAATACATCTGACTTCTTTCAGTTTGTTTGAAACTTCACATATATAAGTGTGGACTGTTCAATGGGCGTGGTTTTGCATTAATGGGAATGTCCCATTCAGATATTCCATGAAAGACACAAAGTCAGGAAAAAGTCACTTGGATCCAGGTTTTGGTTATGAGGTCACCTTTTATAATTCTTCTGTCCTTGTGTTTTCTCTCTCTCTCTCAGCGGGCTGCTGGAGCGTCATGCCAGCTGAGAAGAGCGGGCCCGTTATAAACGGTAAACCAGAAGATGGCAAAGACCCGGAAGGGTCCAGCTCAAGTATAGAGAAGGGGCCGTACAATGAGAGGGGCCAGTGGAACAACAAGATCGAGTTTTTCCTGTCTGTGGCTGGAGAGATCATCGGGCTGGGCAACGTCTGGAGGTTTCCTTACCTCTGCTACAAGAATGGAGGAGGTAATGAAGTTTGCTTTGTCGGTTCTAAAAGGATCAACATACACTAAGTAATACAGGTGCTAGGAGAGGTTGTTGTATTATACCATTAGTAGATCTCACTTGAAGGAGGACATCAGACAGAGAGGAATGGAATGGCACATTTATAGAGAAACAAAAACCAGCAATATCACCTCTGATTAAATACATAGGTAGGACAGAATTTGGTCAGTAAAATGTAAAAGACACATTACTGAGTGAAAGAGGGCAAAGGTGTTTTAAAATATGAGGGTCTTTATTATTTCATCCATTATGCAATAATAACAGAGGTAGGTTTGCTCATTAGGTACCATTAGAAAGCACAGTATGCATCCATTCTTCATCCGAAAAAGGTCATTTTACATTAGAGTGGTATCATAGTCAGTGCTTTCATCTGAATTTTGAGAATCATTGCTTTCATAATCGATAAATGTTTCTTTTTTGGGGTTGAAGATTGTTTTGAACTATTATAATGTCATACACCTTATTCATGGTATCCATTCTCTGCATTTGCCTTTGTGTTCATAAAGGTGCGTTCTTCGTCCCATATGTCATCTTCTTTGTGTGCTGCGGTATACCCGTGTTTTTCCTGGAAACTGCCATGGGTCAGTTCACCACTGAGGGAGGCATCACCTGCTGGAGGAAAATCTGCCCGCTGTTTGAGGGTGAGAAAATATATCTGTTATTGGTGTGTGCTCAGGATTTAAATAATTGATCAAATTACAATACAAAGACAAAGTATTTGGGGCTTAAGAACTCAATTATTGCTCATTCACTATAAACACTGCTTTAAAAAATGTATTTCCTCATGATGATCATCTGTACCTGTACAAACTCCTACAGGTTGTTCTACTGTCAGTCACTGCAGCTGTGAATCCTTGCATGTTAGAGTTATTGAAAATCGCTACAGTTTTGAATATCTGTAATCTGTATGTCTTTGCGTTTTCAGGTATTGGCTATGCAACGCAGGTGATTCAAGCTTATCTAAACGTGTACTATGTAGTGATCCTTGCCTGGGCCATATTCTACCTCTTCAACTGCTTCACCACCGAGCTGCCGTGGGCGTCCTGTGGTCACTACTGGAACACAGGTAGGAGGAGGGAACATCAGATATAAGACAACATTATCCATAACATTGTGCATCTTTTTTATTTCAAGAGTAAAACAGATAATGCGTCCTAGGATTTAATTTGCAATGCCATATCTGCATCATTACCTGCTATTCGCTCTCAAATATAATAACACGCCATTTTGTATCAACAGAGAACTGTGTCGACAGCTATGGAGAAAATGCCACCAACATTACAAACCCCAACACAACCTTTCCAGTCATTGAGTTCTGGGAGTGAGTACAACTTTTGATTACATGTTCATTAGTTTTCATCTGGGTGCAAAGTGCCAATGCAAAGCATGCTGATGGCTTTCATCTCTGAAGGTTTGCAGTATCAATCACAGTTTGTATAAAAACAACACAAGGAGATGCTTTGTCAGTTCAGGCACGTGTCAAGTCCTCTTTTAATGTCATTATCTACTCAAATGTTGAAATCTGAGTCAAACCCCCCAACTTTCTCCAAATAATTAGTCAGCCCTTTTTTATATATTTGTGTGTCAACAGGCTCTGGTAGGCCAGCTGTCTCCAAGCTAGAGCCATGTGTGTGGCCTTGTCAGTGTGTAATGCTGACCACACTTCCTGTCTCGCTGCCAGTGGCTGTGTTTACATTTCCTTTTAAAAGAAAATCTATAATTTATATATTGCTGTCAAGTAGCTAAATTAAAATTGTAATCCGTGTTTTCGTGTCAAAATCCAAATGATTTACATGATTTGTGTATTGGTAATGAAAACACTAGATTCAAGCCAGCAACATGAACCTTACTCCAGAGAAAAGACACAGCCAAAAGACAACCACCATGTTGTTGGCACGAATAGCTGGCTCTTTGCCATGAAGGACTGTTATGTGTTGTACTGTAAGTACAGCATAAACAAACTTTCATATCAGAGCAGGATGTTACACTCGTCTTATATTAATATGTAGGAGCTTGAAAATCATTTAAAAAAACAGATCAATTAGATCCCTGAAAAATAGTTTGATAGATTGATAAACACATGTTTGTATGATTTATTTCTGTACTGATGTGCAATAGTATAAAAAGTGTGTCACTGCTGTAGCGATTTGTCAGACTGAACTGACCAAGACTTTAATGCAGACTTCCAAATCGAGGAAACATTTTTATTTTTTTTGACCTGGCCTGTGGCCGGCCACCAAGAACATGTCACGATGATCAATGGCCGGTCAGGAGCTCCGGGGGTGAACTCGGTGGCAAAGATTTGGCAGCACCATGTAGTTCTGTAGCTGTTCTCATCCTCTATCAATGCTGTTGCCTAGCTTTGCTTCAAAAGACAGGAAACTCTCTGATGAATAACCCCCGCCGACAAGCTTTGATGTCATAATCGCTGATAATGTGCCCTGTAATGTGCACCTGCACGGCACACCTGTAGGTGTATCACAGGGAAGAACTTTTTTGAATCGACCGATACTATGAGTCATACACTAAAAGCTATTGGACTCTTTTGTCTTGAAATCAACAATTACTAAATACAAATATTTGTTTCCAATTTAGTTTTTTAATCCGCAGTGCGGATCATATTTTTCTAAATCGTATCACATTGTGGTTGCTTCCTCAATCGCCAGGCTGAATTACATTACCCTTTGTATAGAGCTAATTCAAGTTAACGTTTATTCTTTATCATCCTTCCTCTGTGTTGTCTAACACAGTTTGCACTTAACACATTAAGAATGATATTAGAAAGTCTGCAGAGGCTCTACGTGTTATGTTTACAAAGGCTTCTTCTTATGTCACACGTGCGTATGAACTAAATCAAATGGTAAGTCATCTGTGTTTTCTGTGCCAAATCAGGCGCAGAGTTCTGAAAATATCAGATGGTATTGAGCACATGGGGGGAATGCGCTGGGAGCTGGCCATGTGTCTGGCCCTGGCCTGGTTCATCTGCTACTTCTGCATCTGGAAGGGACCCAAGTCAACTGGCAAGGTGAGACAATGCGTAATGCACGTTTACCATGTGTGTGTTAGTGTATGTGCGGTTTGAACCCCGCAAATAGACAAAGTAGTAGCATTAGTATTACATGGTGTTATTTTGTTAACACTGCATCCAACTCATGATGGAGGGATTACTATGTGTCTGCATGCTACTATGCAGTTACTGACCATTTTCATTCAGCAGTTTTAATGTTCGTCTTGCACACTAAAACAGCCACAATCTATAGCTCTTTCCCTCAAAACAACACTCTCACAGAGCCAAATGCATTCCCTCTGCAAATAGAGGACAACAGGGGTGTCAGCATCACCCTCTTCTACCTTTCCTCCCATCCCTCTATCCATGTTAATGTCCTCCTTGAGTCCCTGCTAGCAGCCTTGAGGTGGACGTGGGGACTCTGCACCCTTTAGAAACTCCTCTCAGAGTCAATGAGCCAGAATGAGTGAAGAGATAGTTTGGAGTAAAAAAAGAGAGGGAATAAATAGAGTAAAGTAAAAAAGAGGAGAGGTGTGTGAGGAAAATGGCTTCACATTGTACATGACGGGGGGGGGGGGGGGAAACATTGAGGTGGCAATGCCTATATCTCCCTGAGTGTCTTTGTCTGGCTCTAAAGTAAGAGGGGAGAAGGCTTCTTCGGCTGGGCTTTAGCAGCCGGTCCAAGATTGATTCCTATATTCACTGGAGGAGAGGAGAGCGTTCATGAGGAGCATGCAGAGTACACCCTCAGCCTCTGCCTCTTCTGCCTCTCTCTCTCACTCTCTCCTGCTATGAGAAATAAAACTACAGCTCGCCCGTTGTAAGAGAGAGGTGCTTTCTTCTCAACAGACCCTACAGCCCATTCAGTTCCGACTCTGCTAAGCTGTTTGCTTTTGTTGGTTGTGTTTGCCAGCCATTCTCACATTTAAGCCGTCCTGTTAGATTTACGGCGAGGCAGGGGCAAGTTTGACCAGTACATTTGTGGTGGCTTAAATGTTTACCCATGGTGAGCTGGATGGAGCATGTGGAACATCAAAAGTTCATGGAGCGATTGAATATTGTCCTTTTCATCTCCAGAGAGATCGAGAGAGAGAGGGCGTGAAGGTTTAGGATGTGTGATCGTTTTATTTGACAAATTAAAGGAGGGGTTTGCCCGGCAGGAGACAACTTTTCCCACACTCTCCCCTGTAGGCTACTATAGGATTACCAGAGTGAGAGAGAGCACAGTCTCACTATGTCTTCAGTCTTTACTGATCAAAACTACTGTAGGATTTTTTTGGATATTTTATTTGAGGTTTTAAGATGAAGAATGTTTAGTATAATCAAAGCAGAATGTCGCCGTGTTATGATATATTGAGGGTAAAATTAAATGTAACTTCTCTGCAGTTCGAGTAAGGAATAACCTGCATGAAATGCTTCAAAACCTGCAACAATATGTTTGTTTCCCACTTAAAAAACGAGTTTCCATTCACAAAACTTCTGTTTGCAGTTGTACTGTGATGTGACCAGGGATGTACGTGCAATTGAAGTGAGCATGTAAGTGAGCGTTGAGGCCCGTATTTGTGAATGGTCCACTTCTTTGCCTGTAGTATATGCACACCCATTTCACTGTTGTGAGTGAAGTGTGTGTGTGTGTGTGTGTGTGTGTGTGTGTGTGTGTGTGTGTGTGTGTGTGTGTGTGTGTGTGTGTGTGTGTGTGTGTGTGTGCGTGCGTGCGTGCGTGCGTGCGTGCGTGCGTGCGTGCGTGCGTGCGTGCGTGCGTGCGTGCGTGCGTGTGTGTGTCTGAGAGAGTGTGTTTGTGTGTGTACACTCGTGCACTTCTGTGCGTGCTTCAAAGAACAGCACATTTTCCCACACTGCCAGCATCACTCCTCTGGGCTTCTCCTGTTTAAGAGACGGGGCCAGAGGAGCCTTCTTTTCTTTTCAGTCTCCTGGCCTGGCTCTGTTCTGTCCTGTTCTGCCCTCAATTGGACTTTGACTGGATGCCAGCGAGCCAGGGGATGTATGTTGCCCGCCTCTGCCTTCCAAGAGACCAGGGTCTTTGTTCAAGGGGTTTCTAAAAGTCTTGAGATGTCGGGCACAATTCTGCAAAACCTGAATAGTTAAATAAAAAATAAGTGTTGGTTTGATGGTTAGCAAGTTCTAGCTACTGTACTGGGCTGAATTAACTGTATTATAGTTGACTCTAGTGCTGTGCATGACACCTTAATAGATGTACTGTATACTTACAAAACATGAGATGCAAAAACGAATACTAATGTACTCCTTGTTCTAAGTTCTTCTCACATATCTCTCCACTCATGTTTCTTATCCAGTCTAGATGTGTACATTCCTTCAATGCCCTCTCACCCTACTGTCTGAGAGGTTATCTTGTTATCATTGAGCTGTCCTGTAGTTGTGGCACTTGTTTTCTTTATTGAATGGACGAGGAGGTGGACATGTTGGTTATAGAAAAACATTTTTCAGCTGTGACCATCATACGCAGGTTTTTTTTGCTCTGCACAACTTCTGGCAGTGACTCAGTGTCAACTGTGATCTGTCCATTGATAAATATTTCAAATCTGTGCATGTTTATACCTGCAGGTTGTGTATGTGACAGCTACCTTTCCTTACGCCATGCTGTTGGTCCTGCTGGTCAGAGGAGTGACGCTGCCAGGAGCGTGGACGGGGATCAAGTTCTACCTCTACCCGGACATGTCCCGTCTCTCTGACCCTCAGGTAGGCCTGGACCCTCTGTATCTCTCTCAATGTACTGGTAAACGGGTCAAACATATCTGCTTCCTTCCATCTATTAAAAAAACGATACCCATTGGCTAGCTGTATAAATCAAAAATATACTGGTGTATAACACTTTTTAGCTGCAGGTGGCGCATTTGTCAAAGTTGAATAGTCGGATAATACTGCTCTTGTCTGTAGATGTAAGACATCATATTTACAGATAAGACTCTGCAGAGTGGCTGCTTTTACTTTCCCTTTTGCTGCTCTTTCTGAACTACACAAAAAAAAACACATCCGGTTGTTGATGTTTTTTAATGCTGCACATCAAGTAAGCACCTAACCTTATATAAGACACGCTAAATACTGTACATAATACACACATCTTTGAAACATGACCTATACATCTACTCCCTTCTATGTTGTTATTGTTTCCTCTGTTTATCATTTAAAGCAGCAATAATGTTAATTTGATTGGTTGACTGAGTCCAATTGCACTTTGTTTAAGCTATGACTGTTTTATCTTTGAAAGAACAAACTATATTTATACATATATAAACGTTTTAAACTTTTGCCGTAATTTCTACTACCCAGTGGCAGTTATACAACTCTGGCTTAGTAATATGGAGCCAAGATTATTATAGCAGAGCTGACACTTCATGCCTGTGATGAGATGATCAAAGGTCAAGAAAATTGTGAGCTTTCAGAGGATGGAGAAGAGCAAAAGTTCAGAATTTGAGGCTAATGGAGGTGATGCATTGATGTATTACACACACACACACACACACACACACACACACACACACACACACACACACACACACACACACACACACACACACACACACACACACACACACACACACACACACACACACACACACACACACACACACACACACACACACACACACACACTGATCTGACTCCTTGACCTTGCCTGGAAAAAGCAGACAGCTTGGGTCGCTAGGCAACAGAGCTCAAGGCAATGTCAGTGGAGGGGGTGTCATGACAACATGAATGAAGAAAGATGAAGAGTTTCAGTGAAAAATAGAGAACAGATCAGAACACAGGAATACTAGTTCCATGGTCAGTGTTCGATTGAGATTGTTTATTGTAGTAGATATATGGATAAATAGATACATTTGCATATTTTTTACTGGGGAAATCAAATATTAACACTAAACTATTGAAAAAAACAATATGGAACAATTTTAAGTTCTTCGCATTGGAAAACTTTCTGACATGACTTTGGTATTGACCATTCATTTAATATTTTCCCCCAACGGAGATTGTCCAATCACAGCTTGATGACTGTAACTTGGCAAACCTGCAAGCTTGTTATTGATGTATGCATGGGACCCCAACACGACCAACATTGGGCATTTTACACTTTTTACAGTTTTACTATTTTTTAAAACTTAAAGACAAAATTGTCACAAAAGGATTATCTTATTTAGATGCAATTGTTGGCATGCCTGTGCAGCTAAGTAGCTTTCTTCCTGAAGCAGCTATCTATCATTCGGTTCCTTCTTCCTGCTCCTTTTCGGTCAATGGTGTATTTACAGAGACATGTTTTGTTAACAATGATTATACATTAAGTCGTGCATACCATGAACGGAACAAATAAAAATGAAATGAAAAAAAAAAATGAAAGGTTCAAGAATGGATCACATCACTAAGTTTACCAATGAGATAGCTTTAGCCTCACACTTACTAGGTAAATATCATGTATAAAGCCTTCAGTGCAAACTAAAGAATCAGCTAGAAACATAATCGGCTTGAGACAGCTTACCAACTAGCTAGCTATGTTAGCTCAGCTGATAAACAGCTGATAAACTCTTCTGCTGACATTTCAGCAGGCAAAAGTAATGGTTGCAAGCTACAGAATGAGAACAAAATCAGTTTTGATCTGCCACTTATCATTGTAAGATGCAATGGATGTGATGACAAGGAACATTACAGCCCTGGAAACAATTGAGTCAGTGTGTAGTTGTTCTGTCAAGTAAGACCATTCTTTATTTTTCGTTTGTACAAAGCAGCTCCTTGTGGTAGGAAACTGTGTTGAGAACATTTTGGCTTGACTTGGACTAAATGATACATTATTAAAAGACTACAAAAGAAACTCTTGATAAACTGCCAGTTCACATTTATATCATTGCATTTCAATTCACAAAAGTAAGCCTCAGTGATGATGGCAGAATGTAATTATTTTTCCCAGTTGTTGTCCAGTGAGATAACTGTTGCATCTGTAAAAGTAGTAGAACTAGAAAAAGAGAAGCAGGGATACAGATAGATGGTGAACAAGTGAGACACAACAGAAACAAAAGACTCAAGCAGGCACAGAGAGACTGAAGGATGGTGATAAAGAAGCGCTGCTGTTTGGCAGAGGAAGACATTACTTCTGACACCAATGTTAAATTAGCTTCCTCAGGGACAATCAAGGCTCTGTTCTGTTCTCCAGGCTGTGAGGAGTGTGTGTGGCTGCGTGTCACCCGCTCTTTCTACACCCCTAAACTCCATCTTGCCTCCCCTACTCTTTTCTTTATATTACCTTTCTCCCCCTCTTGCTCACACGCCAGCATGCACTTTGCATCACTTCCCTCCTATCCTTCTTTGTTTTCTTTCCATGCCCTGTACATGAAAATATATTGCTTTTAGTGTCTTTTCCCCAGCCTCTCACTAGTCAAACAAACCTTGTAATTCCTTGCTTATTTCCAGAATCAAAATGGTCTTCCCTTCGTATTCAAAAATAGCAAGGCCAAGGATATTGTTGTGTTGGTACCCTCCTTCCTCAAAAAAGACTAACAACCAGACATAAGCAAGACAGTTATATAATACGCCTTCTTGGTAGACTTGTTAAAGACTCACATGTTCAGCTTAATACCTGCCCAGCACCAAGTTAAAGCGTTTTACCAACATTATTTGGAAAAAACATTAGACAAGAATGCTACATGACAGCAGCAACATGCACATTTGTAAAATTACAATTAAGACAGCCTTTATCCTCTGTCATATTTTATCCTGTCTCTAATCGTATAATGTGTAGCTAGCTGTGTGTTTAGCATTTGGTTACATCACATTATCTACTGCATGCAGAAAGATGCGTATGCAGAGTTTTCAAGTTCATCTGCTAAAGGAGGACAGTGTTTCTGTCTTTACTTTGAAACTAAGTTTGACACATATACTGTAGTTACGAGCATTATGTACTTTTTTAAGTAAAGAAGGACAAGAAAACATTTGACTGTTTAGCTGAACCTAAAGAACATCCCTTGTTTACTCAATGTCGAAGGCCTGCAACATCCGTACATTGCGATATAACTTGATGAATATTCGGTACATTTAAAATTACATTTATGAGGAAAATCTGGCTTATTCATTTCAGCCAAATATGCTGTTGCTCTTCATATATAAATATCTAACCTTTGAATACAAAGAGTGGGACTTGAGGAGCACCGAGAGCAGGACATTTACATTACAAGACCGCTATCTTATGGTCAATGTCATCGAGCTTTCACACAGTAGGAACGTTTCCTGGAGCCACAGTCTCAACATTACCAAACACAAGCTGGCCAAATTAGGCACAACATCAACAAGTGATTCTCTCTGAGCCTGGGCCTTTAACGTTTCCCTGTGCTGTGCGGCCATCAGCCGAGGGTGAACTAAAGGGAACATTAATGAACATTAGGAGAGAAAGGCCTGTTCTTCCACAGGAACAGTCCTGTGTTTGTGAGGTCACAGAAGTTACCGTGGTTACTCCCAGGAGGGAACGAAGACCGTGCGTTTGTTAATTGTTTCTCGGTAGGGAAATGAGATTAGTTGCTGAATGGTGATGTGAGAGAGTTTTCAAAGAGCCATGCTGCATTAGGTTTGAATTCGCTAGCACACCAGGCTATCCAGCGGGTTTAAGGGTCCTGTGCTAAACTACAAACTAGTTTTATAATGCACATTTTACTGCTTCACTGCCTCAGTGAAGAACCTTACATGTGTAAATCCACATGCTGCCCATGAATCAAAATACTGTGAATCATGTCCACATTATAATAATTGGCTAAATAGAAGGTAATTAAGCTTTTCAATTATACTTCATATTGAATTGCTTGTATTAATACAGGAAATATCCAGAAGCTTTCCCTTCAATATAGTACATGGTGGAACAAGCCAGTACCCTAAAGAGGATTAAACAGATTGAGAGATTGAGAATAGCGATCTTTAATGATCGCTGCTGCATAGAAATATACTCACAGACATTTCATCTTTGCAGCTAATTATTGACCAACAAGTCTTCATACAGTAAACGTCAAAATAGGTTGTTTGTCAGTGTCATAGTCACATGTTGTTTTGTGAGTTACATCATGTAGCAAGCTCCTTCCCCATTCAGTACCTGGAGAGGACACTGATTCTTTAAATAACCCCACACAACATCCGAATGTGTTGGCCAGCCCAAAAATAATTAATAAAGTATGTGTAACTTCCAACAGTTTTGTTGTTGAGATTTTACAATTCAACAGTTTTTCTTTTTCTGTAGCTTTTAATAGATTCAAGTATTTGACAAATTATCACCATACTTACATATATTTGAATGACTCAGTCTATGCTACACAAATTAGCATAGGTTAAGTGAGAAGTTCAAGTTCCACAAAAATATTCTGAATACAGTACGTAGGTTTGTTTATCATAACATAACCTGTTAAACTTCTAGACACAAAGCAACACAGTTGCAAATGTTGAATTTCAACCTACAAGCTACAAATACCAATCCAAAATGTACAAACAATGACAACCAATGCCAATGCTAATATGTTAAAGTTATATAGACATTGATACATTTGTAAGACTCTTCACCATTTACATTTAGCGTGTTAGCACCAGTTTACAGTTTTTAAATGTTATTTGTCAATTTGTAAAGGTTTATGCCACAAGAAACAGTTTCATTGAACATACTCTCACAACACCTTCTGTTAAAGGTGGGGTAGGTAAGTTTGAGAAACCAGCTCGAGATACACTTTTGTTATATTCCATGGAATGCTCTTAACATCCCGATAGCAATGAATATCTTCAGTGCTTTGACAAAAAATCCATAAAAAAATGTCATCTGTGGAAGCCGTAATACTGTAAAAAGCACGACCAATCATTTTAGCCGGCCCGGCTAAAATAACTGGATGGCCTACCTGCCTGTCAGCCTTCCATCGGGGCACAAACTTATCTCGTGCCCTCATTGGTCATGTGCGCGTTCGTGTGTGTTGGAGGAGGGGCTCTGTAAGGAAGTGGCAGATTTTTTCCGGCTGTGTATTTTCAAATTCTAGCGATCTCGAGCTGGTTTCTCCAAAATTACCTACCCTACCTTTAAGTATTTTGAAGGTACAAAAGTGAATGTTTAATTTAAATTATACTATGCTCATCTCTCACCAAAACAGAATAGGGAAATATGGATTTTTGGGGCAATGGCAAAATATCAGATGCCTTTAACAGTTTCTAGAACTTTGATTAGCATATTACTTAAATATATCTTTAAAGAATAACGTTGGCTGTTGGAAAAACAGGCTTCCTGATGGCTGTTTTCACTCGTCACCAATCTGATTATTTACTGTATATCTATGCCACTTTCCCTTCAGGTATGGGTAGATGCTGGAACCCAAATCTTCTTCTCCTATGCCATCTGCTTGGGTTGTCTCACTGCTCTGGGAAGTTACAATTCCTACAACAATAACTGCTACAAGTAAGATACAATATGAATACTACACTCGTATATTGATGAATGATAATGACAGAAAGTAAAAAATGTTGTCTTTCGTATCTCTGAATAGATTTTTACTTGCCAACATAAAGCCCAGCTGGTAGAAGGTGATTGATACGGTGGATGGTCACATAATTTAATGTTCTCGTTCATCACACAACATGTGTGTATCTGAGGAGAAATGCCTGTGTCGTCTGTAGTGTACGGTCTGGTAACGGCTCCTACAGTGAGTGTGATCTTCTCTTTCTGTCTGTCTTGCTCCTCAGGGACTGCCTCATGCTGTGTTGTTTAAACAGCGGCACCAGTTTCGTAGCAGGTTTTGCTATCTTCTCCGTGCTGGGCTTTATGGCCTACGAACAAGGTGTTCCCATCGAAGCTGTGGCAGAGTCTGGTGAGAGAATAACAATCATGTTTATTAAAATGCAGATCTGCAATGAAGCCGTATACTACATCTGACGCTCACTGTTGAGTAGAGAAGGCCTGTCTGAGTCTTTGTGCTGAAATGGATAAACGTATTCATTCATATAACTCCACACTCTTCACCTAGGCTCTTAGACCACCACATTATGATTTATTCAAGTCAGTATGAATGATTTAGTGAATGTGATAGAGCGAGAGATTTGAAATGTTTGTCTCAGGGCAGGGTGAGGACAAAGTTTGATGTTTTAATAATGATTTTTCTTCAAGATTGTTTCTCCAAATGTAGGTTTTGAATTAAGCACTGCATGTCTCCTGTTATTTTGAACCAATCAATCTTAGTTTACAACTCTATCCGATATCATTCATGTCCTCGAAGACAGGATGCTCTCTGCTTCTATTGCTTCCCTGTACTTCCAGTATGTTTATGTGTTTTTTTTACGAGTAAAACTGATTGATAAATATCAAAAGCTTATTAACCAACACTTTGCCTAGTGAAATTGTACAGGCTGCTGCATTGTTTCCTGTTGATAAATTCATTTATAGTGATAATGATACAAATAATACTACTATAAATTATAATATAAAGCAAAAATCTAGCCCAAATAATTAAAGACATCCCCCATTAAGCACAAAAGGAAGAACTTAAACATCTGGAGAAAGAAGGAAGAAACATTAGAAAAGTCCATAGAAAAGCAGATGTATATATTAAACACATATACATATATAATAGTAACCATAACATGTCAGAGCTTCAAGCCTCTGCTTTTGTGAAAATGATTTCAAACTGTAGGCACTGTCAAATAGATGGCTATATCTCCTACAATCCTCAGAGTTCACATACTGAAAGAAATGTGGGAGAAGCTTAAAAGAAAAGGAAATGTTTGTTCCATGCTATGGTCATTTATTTTTGGCCTCATCTTGTCTTGAATTGTTTGAAAAACTCTCTCTTGCTTTGAGGAGACTCCTGTATGTTCTTTTTTTGGGGGGATGCAGGTCCTGGTCTTGCATTCATTGCATACCCCAAGGCTGTTACTATGATGCCTCTGTCTCCGCTTTGGGCCATCCTCTTCTTCCTGATGCTCATCTTCCTCGGTCTGGACAGTCAGGTGAGAATTATGGAGAAAGTTCACTCACATAATAAATGTAAAGGTTTATAAAGATGTGAAAGTAAAGATACATAAAGGAATAGGGGGAAGATAAAATGAATCCGTTTTTTACTATGATTATGTATGGACATTGACCTACACTTTGAAATACGTTCAGTTGGTTTGAATTAAGTTAACCCTAAATAATGCTTTGAGTCATTGGAACATCAATGCTTACAATACTGATGAAAGACTTTTTGTGTGTATATATGATATGAGCTAATAACTATGATTTGAATGTGTAGCCACTGCAGAATAACTGTTGTATTAAATGTGTGATAGTTTTGTCTAGTCATCTATCTTATAACTAATCCATGCTGTTTCCATTGAGACAATAATGTTATACCCTTTTTTTTGTTGCAGTTCGTGTGTGTGGAGAGTTTAGTGACAGCTGTGGTGGACATGTACCCAGATACCTTCAGGAGAGGCTATCGCAGAGAGTATCTGATCCTGGGCATGTCTATAGTCTCCTTCCTCGTAGGACTCATCATGTGTATGGAGGTAAGGCTCTGCAAACAAATATGAAAATCTACCTACAGTAATATAAATATAAAATGGACTGTCAAAGTTCTTTTTATCAGGTTTCAGAGTTTTGTATATGTAGTCGTCGTCATCATCATCATCAGCATCATCATCATCAGCATCATCATCATCATCATCATCATCATCATCATCATCATCATCATCATCATCATCATCATCATCATCATCATCATCATCATCATCATCATCATCATCATCATCATCATCACCATCAATGTACAAGTGAGAGAAAAACCCAGTCAGCTACATTATAGATTCATTTTCAACACTCAATATGACGGAAAACCTTTAAGATATTTTAGTCATGTGATCCACCGTCTTCTTGGGTCAGATTTGATAAAATAACCACCAGAAATCTCAAGTTCTCCATGTAGATGCTTTTAGGACCTTTCATCTTTGTCATAATAATGGAAGATAATTTGGTTTCTCACACAAGGTTTTCCATCCACTAAAAGCTTTTCCACATGTCAATATGCACTGCTCTCTGTCCATCCCCACTGTAACCCTGCTGTACTCTAGCGGTCCTTAATGGCTATGAAACAGGGGGGCCGAATATTATTGCAATATTAAAGCAAAGCACTTTCTCCTTTCTCTTTGCCTTTATAGTCTGCTGCATTGTCCAATGACAAACACTGCCAGCACAGTAGACACTTAAATCTTTTCTGTGGCCAACAAACCATCATAAATAAAATGTCCCAAGAGGCCCAAGACTAGTATTTAATCACAGTTCAAAAGGTCCTCTGGGACTGTAGATCAATACATGGCTGAATGGGGGTAAAGACAATCACTGAAACATTATTATGGTACTATTCTGAGCTGTTTTCAAGAAGTGAAAATGCACGTGAGATATTATTTATGATTCTTTAGAGGAAGCTGAAAGAAAATATGTGTTGTCTTGGGGAAAGTTTGGGTAGGTAGAGTGGATGATAAAATCTGAGCACCACCATTGATACTGTATTAAGATAACCAGCTGTTTGTTCCAGTTTCAGGTTGAGATGACAGATATTCCAAACAATTACTCCTTTTAATATCCAAGAATGGTTTCACAATGATAGCCATTAACATCACATATAACACCGTGGCCAATGATAACAAAAACAACGATAATGCTGTTAAGAGGTCTCTATCTCAAATATGCTGAATGGGATAAGAGCAAATAAATGTGTGTATATACTGTGTAACTGATGTATTTTTTATGTGAGTTCACAGAATCTGATGCTCATACAGTGGCTGTGACGGATAACTGACAGCTGTCTTGTCTTATCAGGGCGGAATGTACGTCTTCCAGCTGTTTGACTCGTATGCTGCCAGCGGGATGTGTTTGCTGTTTGTGGCCATATTTGAGTCCATATGTATCGGCTGGGTGTATGGTAAGATCACTTGAAACATAACTAACAAATATTTTTTTTAATAAATTCCTTAACCTTTATTCCTACACTCAACAACAGCCTTGTTTTTTGTCAGCCGAAGCAACTGTCACACATTCGACCACAGAAAAAACAGTTTTATCCACTAACACTGTATCATGCTTTTACCCTCTTTGCTGCAATGATATTTCTTCTCTGCCCTCTGCTGGAGAATGAACTCAAACACATGCATCAGCCACAGAGTGTTATATAACGCTTACAAATCTTAAAACTGAGATATTTTAAATTATATTATGATATAAAAGCAATGTCAAAGGTTGCCATTCTGCGTTTTTATCAAGAAAATATACAATAGTACTGTAGTGCCTTTTTCTATTTAATATCCTCTCTTGCGACAGAATTTTTATTTCTATCATATTATGATATATAACATACAATATAATTATTGTCTAATTTCCTCAGACAAATTGAAAGCAACCCATTCATATCAATTAAGTAAATAGTATTTTACATGTAGCAATGCAACATGTTTGTTTGTCTGGTTCTCTTTCCTCAAATAAACGTACGGACCACGTTGAATCCACATCTGGCCAGCAGCTCTGATTAGATGACCACGTTTCTTCCACACTGTCTAAAGACATCAATCACATCATTATCTGTGATGACATGCAGAATCTCTGAGTGACACTTGTTTGCATTTCAGGTAGTGACAGATTCTACCTCAATATTGAGGACATGATTGGCTACAAACCCGTCTTCTTCATCAAATGGTGTTGGATGATCCTGACCCCAGGCATCTGCGCTGTGAGTCTGACCGCACACACAAAATCAAGCATCAGCAGCAGCATCGACAACACATCATGGAGACAAACTCAGTAGTGAAAAGAACAGATACTGTTTTGTGTGTGTTCAAATGAAGTTTAATCCTCTAGTTGTGTAGGCAGTTAGTCTTAGATTTACGTTTTAAATATTTCTTAATGCAACACTTTTAAGTATACCAGTCTTTACCAAGTTCAGTTGCAGTTTCCTTTAGGAGCGTGTGCCTGTTTGGATCTTCGCTCACAAAATTGCTGCTTGTAGTGTCTCAATAAACTCTCATTGCTATAGGGAGTTTGGTTGTAAAGTTAATTACCCAGCAGCAAATGTAAACCACAGTCATTGAGCAAATGCATGTTCGCCTCAGACACAATTTGTATGACTTACTGTATGACCTTTTTCTCCTTTTTCTATAAAACTAAACCTCATACTTTTTCAATGACATTGTATACAACAAGTACAAATTGAATGTCATTTTTGTCTTGTGCAGGGCATTTTCCTGTTCTTCCTGATTAAGTACAAACCGCTGAAGTACAACAACGTGTACACCTATCCTGACTGGGGCTATGGTATCGGCTGGTTCATGGCCATGTCCTCGATGGTCTGCATCCCTCTGGGAATGATCTGGAAGATCGCGACGACTCCTGGCACCTTTGCTGAGGTATTTATGAAAACTCACCGAAAATTCCAACATTTTCTTTCTGTAAGTAAAGCAGTAATACTCATGCCTTGTTGCATGAAGATATTTATAATGTCATAGTTAAATAAACTGTAAAACCTTTGCATTAGTTTAATTTCCAACTTCATGTTTACATTCTTCACTCTCTCATATTGCCTTTTTTCTTGAAGAACATTGACAATAGTCATGTTTGCCCACGATATGTAGCAATAATTGCAGTTTAGTCAAATAGAAAAACTTTGTTTTGTGTTTTTAACTAATCTACGAGATGATTTCCCAAAACCAAACACAGTGTGGATTACACAGGTTTGCACGTGTGACTGACATCATCAATGAGTGTGCCTTTTATGGAAAATATAAGTAAAATAATGTGAAACCAAGTCTGTTAAAGTGCTTGTGCAAAACATTATATAATATATAATATAATTGTTATACAACTTTATTTACAGTCAGATCTTAAAATCAGAACAGCATTAGTGAGTGTTTTACAAGAGATGAAACCTTTAACGCCTTTAGCATAATAAAGGACATAACTCAAAGTAAGGTATTTCTCCCCTTTGACTTTCTCTGAAGAATTATGTCACCGTTTGGTAAAATCTCCCATCGTCGCCTGAGGAAGGATTCAAAAGCAGATACTGTAGCAGGTTTATGACGAGAGATTATCAGTATCGGCCTCGGGCTTTTGGCAGAGCTGAGGCATGATGAAAAGTACACAAATGATATCAGGGACTTGTTGATCAGGTCTTAATGAAATCCACATGGTGTACAGAGTGTAGGCCCGGGTAGTGCACAGTAGAAATCTACAGACAAAATGGATACATTGATTTGGAAACAATACCTATATTATTTCTTGACAGCTTCATATATTTTTAAATAGTGAAATGGTATGGGTTATTCAGTTAGTTAGCAAGTTATATGGCAAGATTCATTCATTTAATGCCTGGAAGATACATACTTTGTTATTTAATTTAAATAAAGGTCGGTCCATTCATATGTTTTATTTTTTATTTTGGATGGTTATTGTTACTTTTCTTAGTTTTAAGTATGACTAGATGCACAAGCTGTATCTGCCTTTGGCCACTATAGGATATAGCATTGTTGTGGAAGATTAAAAGATTATTCATCTTTCTCTATGCTCTCTGCAGAGAATAAAGAAGTTGACGACTCCCAGCCCCGACCTGAAGATGAGAGGGAAGCTCAACGCCCTCAGCCCTTACGCTGCCAACGATGCAAAACTCAAGGTTGATGCGAAAGTATCCACCATCTCAGAGAAAGAGACGCATTTCTAACCGACCGCATGACCAACCGACCAAGCTGCCTGCCGTCTTCACAATAAGACCAACACATGGAAAGTACAGCAAACAACAACAATATCTACCGGTTCACAAAACAGGAAATGTAACAAATTATTTGGAGTGTTATTTTGTTTTGTAAAAAAAACAAAGGAAAAAAGGAAAGCTTACATGATTTGTAGTCTGTTTCTGTTTTGCACAAACTTTGTTAACACATTTGTTTTTGTTGTTTCAGTTAACACTGTGTGACTCAATCTGCAGTTTCTTTCTTTTCTAACCATTAATATTTTAAAACCAGTCAATACAGTTTGGGCCAACGTGCTGTGTTGTGAAAGACTTACACTGTACATATACTGGCAAGGTGCTGTGCCTCTCTATTAGGTACGAGGTACCCACATGTGATTCTCCAGATGTAGCAGCTTGGGGACCTTTCAGCATAGTGTGTGTGTATTAAGAGGATACTGCACTTTAGGAGGACACGTACCCTGAAGACCCCTGACAGTCATTTTGAGTTTTTAATCTGTTTTTTATCTGAACAGCCATGACCCTGAACGTTGTTTAGGGCTTTAGTAATTCTAATTTACATGCATTCAATACTGTTGCTATGCAACATAGCCACACATTCTGCTTACTGGCTGTAATTGAATAATATTATTAAGGTATTGATCATCACATTAGGATGTATTATGTCCTTGAGGGCTTTGCTGATTTCTATGGCACCGCTCTTTATGAATAAACCTTTCTGCTCTGTAGGGTTTATATTGAAGGGCAAATAACAAGTCAAACCTGTAAAACCATTTGCATTCTTCTTGTTTTGAGGTACAAATCTTCTCATGACTAGAAATGGTGAGTGACTCGCGGGCTGAGTCTAAAAACACACCCTTCTCTCCTCTAGATGCCCTCTTATAAGTCATTGGTATCTGTCATTTCACAGCAATTACGCTGAGCCTAACACAGAGTGACAGACGCTCTTCCACCCCTGCATTTTTATTTCCTGTTCCGCCTGTAAAAGAGAAGATGAACGCCCATCAGATGAGCATTTCAAAACCCATCTGTCTCCTTATCTCCCCCTCTTTTTATTCTTTCCCCTTCTCTGTTTTTTCCCTCTTCCTTCTTTCTCATCTTCATCCTCTGCTTGTCCGCCCATTTCAATGTTTTTCCGCTTCTGTCTTTCTCTTCTTTCGCGTCTCAGCAAAGACCCGGCCCTTGTATGAAACTGTGAAGCTGCTGAATGCTTTGTATTTCTTCTTTGACTTCAGCGATAGTCTTTCAATTGATTAGTCTCTTTGTGACCTTTTTTTAAACCCCACTGAAAAAAATAGATATCTTTTAGTTTTGCTGTCAGAGCCACTGCGGGGGTGAACACACAGTCTGTTCCTGTCATCCATTTAATTGTGGTAAGAGTCAATGAGCTGGTCTCATTGTTCAGATCAATCTCAGTCCATTGCAGTCTCATCCAATGACTTGTCCTACCTGCCTCTCTTTGCTTTGTCTGAGTCTCTCACCTCCCCTTCTCTCTTCCCTGTGTCCTTTGTTTCCTGATGAAAATGCAATCAGAAGAAAGCATCTGAGGGGATGAAACTCAAATGTGTCTCTTTACACATAGTTTTTCAGGAGGAGGCAAAGAAAGCAGGGAAAGAAATAAGGCATTGATGAGCTGAGTAAGTGTGTGATCGAGTGAGTAAAGAGAGAATAGAGGAAGTGTTAGGAGACTGAAGCCCCTCCTGTCTAAGCTGTGACATCCTCTTAAACATGTGATTGGTCCCGCTCGTTTGGTTGCATTATGACATCTTCACCTCCTCACTGATGTTTGTGCAAGTTACTAGTTGTGTGCTTTGGATGTATAGCCTGCTGTTTAACACTGATCATGTTGATGCACATTTGTACATCTCATTCTAAAAATCTGTGGTCTATTTCTTGACATGAATGATGTTTTAAAAGAATTGCTATATTAAAAAGAATATGATCTTTGTTTTGACTTTTGATATGTCGCTCAAATGATCTTGTTATAGAATTATAATGAAAAGTGTTATTGTTCTGAACTATTCTACACACATTTTGGTATTCACAACAGGACATGTGAACTGTCTGCTTACCTATTTTTAAGAATAAACATACAGGAAAAGGGATTGTGAAGGCTGTGGTCTTTTTATTTAGCCTAATCTTTCATTTCAGCATCGCAGTTACCCTTAAAGGGAAAAAGATCACGCTTAGATACTGACATTTCTTTCTTAAAGTCCTTTGAAAGAGTTTCAATGCCTACGTATTATGAGACTTTATAGAAATAACAGTTTAAGATAAGATTGCAGAAGTCCAACACAGCAACGAGATCATTGACAGACACAAACATTAAATAATAGGATGGGGAGTGGAAGAAAATAAGGGGAAAGAAATGTTGTATGCACATTAAATAATACAATTTGGAATACATTAAATGAATTTAAATCTCTTGGAGTTGTCAATTTCCTATATACATTTTATTTGTAAATGTTGTAAATGTAGGTTGACTGTATTTGATCACTGCAAAGGCTACATGAGAAACATTAAAACCCCTACACATCTACAATGAGCCCACATAGGTGTTTTCACTCAGCCTGGTTGGATCTCTTCTCAGGACTGTGTGGGTGTTCAACACTGGGCTTCAACATCTTTCTCACCTTGACTTTGCACCTGTGAAAGCAGGAGCATTTTATTTGTTATTATTACAGAGGGTTTTGTGAGATTACATAATTCCCTGCATAGCTCCACTCTACTTCTCTACTTCACCTGAGTGGAGCAGTAATCAGCCACAGACACAGTAAGGTAAAGCACAGGTTTGAACAATAAAATAAAGGAAGCCTGAATTCAGTTTAGCTGCTTTGAGTTCTGTGTCTAGTGTTGCCTGCCTGGCTCACTGTCACACTGTCACACTGTCACACTGTCACACTGTCACATTGTCATTGTTTACCAGGGAAATGTAAATAAAACCATAGCCACTGTTAATGTTGTGTAAAGAGTGGTCCAAAACGCACAGACATGGTGAGAATTTTTTGTTAGGAATATGTCTGCTTCCTTAAAAATGATCCATATGGATTCTGGTGTCTCAGATTTCTACCTTGTTGCATGTCTTACCCTCCTTTCTCTTTCTTTCTTACTCCTGTATTTCAGCATCTCAATTGTCACCACTATGTTTGTCCTCTATCAGGATTACTGTTTGAACTACAGCCTACAGGAGTATAAGGCATACTCTATAATCAAATAAAAACAAATAAGGAAACTTCTTGTTCGATCCTTTTGGATGTCTTTGAGGGTCCCTTGGCCTCTGGGTGAGTTTCAGTGTGTGTGTTGAGCATGCTTTGTATGTATGTGTGTGTGAGATGTGTGCGTGTGTGTCTGTGTGCAGTATTGTGCATGTATCCAACTGTCACACTTCAGAAATAAGCTTTACTTTCGTTGACTTGGAGGTGACTTTTGGATTTGATCCGGTAGATGATGTGTCATTGTGTCACTTCGGCGCTGTACGAAAAACTTCTGAGAACTCTTTCTGAGCTGACAAAAGTTTCTGGACTCTTCTGCCAAGCAAAATCCATTCAAAGAGTAATGTGGAGGTTAAATGGTTGACAGCGGGGAAAACTGGTATTTCTCAAATGCTGTAAAATGTCTTTTTGCATTTCCCCCTTTTTTCTTTTGGAGATAAGCTTTTATCTGAAACCTTTATCTTAAACAGTGCTGTTGGCTGACAGGCTGTATACATTATGAATACAATTTCCCTTCTGGCAGGGTTGTTTTATTCCACTTTATCTGATGATTGTTAGGAAATAAGACAGGTGACGGATCCATAGTCAATGTTAAATGGACATTTTTGAAAGCTACAGATAAACCAGTACAGCAGTACGGCAGAAAGATAAGCACATTATGGACTCCATTTACTTTTATGTTAAATGGCATACAGTAAATCAATGGTTAAAGCTGTTGAAGTTGTGGATAATGTGTTTACAGTAAAGGCTACCAACACAAACAGCAGACATACTGTAGATAGAGCAACATTCGTCTTCATTTGGAGGGTATGGTCATGTGAGGCTTTTAGTTTGTCTGCACAATTATGATGATAAAATAGAAAATGAATACAAAGGGGGGGAAACAACTGTTATTACAGTGCAGGAGAGGAAGGATGCCTCAAGGACTTACAGTAATCAGAGTCCTCCCATATTTTTACAAATACATTTATTTATTTTATCCCTCAATAGGGCTGCACGATATATCGTGTCGTGACGAAAATCGCGATATGCGCATGCGCGATATTCACATCGCGTGGACGTGCGATTTTTAATTTTAATTTAAATTTTTTAAATGTTAGGACTTGCGATATTAAGTAAGCAAATGAACTCAAACACGTCATGTTACAATTATTTTGCTGCTTGCTACAAAAGGAAAACTTGCGCGGCTCTCATGTCAGGGGTACTTGAGTGAGTGGCATGCAGGCTCTGCATGCACAGCAAACCACCAATCAAATCTCAAAGCAAACGGACCCGGTGATTAAATGTAAAAACACTGAATAAAGTAGTTTCATGTGTTTCTCCAGGGCAGTTCGGCGCTGCTAACCGAGCTAGCTCAGCTTGTTGCTCTGATAACTTAAGATCCAGACGTCCGTGACTAAAATCCTTCATCCGGTTAAATATAGTTGAAAAAATACCAATTGAATTAAAGTTCAAGAAAGGATGGTTTGCGGAAGAAAAAAAAAACAGTCTTTTCTTCAATTCCTGTATGTTTTCATATCGCAATATATATCACAGGGCGGGAAAAAATCGCAATGTCAGTTTTTTCCAATATCGTGCAGCCCTATCCCTCAATGACGATAAACAAACAAAGAGCACATTCTGTAGCACACAAATGCCTATATCTATAAACACAACATACAAAAACAGTAGAGACCAAAGCCATTCAGCCAATGACAAAAGGAAAGGAATCAGGTGCACTGAGAGCAAGACAGAGAGCAAGACAGATATCAGGGAGGCAATCAGGATGTGAGACGAGCAAACTAACACATGCCATGGTGTCAAAACAGTAACACTTACTGTATGAGGTACACACTGTACAGACAAAGAAGACTCACATTGACAGACATTTACAGAAGCGATGGAGGGATAGACTGATGCAGATGCCATAAGACAGATGAGGAAATATGAGACAGTAGCTAAAAGAGCAGTCAATAAGAGAGAAACGAGGGAAGCAGCCTTCTTCTCTGCGATTATGAGCAGATTAGTTGACTCACACTCAGAGTTCTGGGGCAGTGCTTCAGGACAAAGCCAAGATAGAAACACTACGCACCATGGCATAAAGTCAGCCTGCCTAAAGATTAAAGCAACCTAGATTTCTATGCTGATCTTTAGATAGGATGCGAGAAAGGAAAATACATGCGAAAAAATATGACACAGTTAGTACTACGCCATACCCTGTTATCTGTTCATTTATTTTGAGTAGATTTCTTACAGTCACTGTTCGAATGGGTGTTTATTTTAAAAGAAAAAATAACCACTCAGGAATTGTCAGTCATATTTATACAGTTTGTTTGACCCTTTGTAAGTCTGCATTCTCTTGTGCATACACTGTTGTGACAATATATTATATAACATGAGGAAGCAACATTTTAAATGATATCAACTGTCTATATCGCCTTTGCAATATCCCATCCAAAAGGTAACTGTGATTAAATAGTTCAAGGCGTGCTGCTAATACAGAGACAAATTCTAATAAGGGGTCAATGAATGAATGAGACCACTACAACTCTATTGTGAGCCATCTCTTTGTGTAAAAGCTCAATCAAAAACAGTACATCAATGTGATTAAGACTAACCTTGTGCACTATAAAGTAGGAGTAGGTACAAAATCAAATACACTGCATAGGACTTTTACTAAACGTTGGCTCAGAGCCTAATATCAGCCAGAAGTCGTGTTATGGTTCTGTGCTTTAAAAAGTCTACGTCCACGCTAAATATAAACAGGTTTTCTTCCCTTTTGATCCCCTGCTGGTGTGACATGAGGCTGGAGTTATTCTTTTAATTTCAGCAGGGGGCAGCAAATTCAAAACTACCATGACGGAACAAGCTTTAACATCAGGTGGAAATTAAAAGTGCATCTCTTGTGCATCTGTGTGTGCTAATGCCTCTGCATTGTGGCTGCATAGGTTTGTGTGTGTGTGTGTGTGTGTGTGTGTGTGTGTGTGTGTGTGTGTGTGTGTGTGTGTGTGTGTGTGTGTGTGTGTGTGTGTGTGTGTGTGTGTGTGTCAAGACAATTTGTGTCCTTGAGCATAATGTGTGTATCTCTGCGTCATTATCGCTAAATGAATGGTTTGCATGCTCACAGTGCCTGACATGGCATCATGTAATATCAGGTAAATGTCATGTGAATAATGTTTGCATTATTTTTGTACTCTTACATACAGGTCTGGTTACAGACTCTTTTCACCTCCCTACATTTGTATTTTGAGTGTGGATAGTAGGGTCCATAACATGAACAAAGATGATTTGGAAAAGAGCAATATTATAATGAATTCATGTTTTTCAAATGTTCTAGTGACATTGTCAAAACATTGTTATTGTACAGCCCTCATGGTATACTAGCCAATTCAATAATGACATTAATTGTACAACACTCTTTTTCAAGATTAAAAAAGTGTGTGTGTGTTACTGGTGTGTTTGCAGGTACGTGAAAGGCTTCGGGTGGCTCTGGAGAGGGTGTCCTCTCTGGAGGGACAGCTAACAACTAGCACACAGGAGGTAAGGTGTGTGGATGTGTGTGAACAATCATGTGTGTGTGTGTGTGTGTGTGTGTGTGTGTGTGTGTGTGTGTGTGTGTGTGTGTGTGTGTGTGTGTGTGTGTGTGTGTGTGTGTGTGTGTGTGTGTGTGTGTGTGTGTGTGTGTGTGTGTGTGTGTGTGTGTGTGTGTGTGTGTGTGTATCAAGACAATTTGTGTCCTTGAGCATAATGTGTGTATCTCTGCGTCATTATCGCTAAATGAATGGTTTGCACGCTCACAGTGCCTGACATGGCATCATGTAATATCAGGTAAATGTCATCATTCATGCACGCTCGATACAGACAGCTTACTCCCCCCTCAGAAGGAAATGAAATACACAGAGCTCAATGTCATT